TTTTTTTCATTTGCGTTTCCTTTTTATTTTTAGTGTTGCATTAAAGATGCCTTTTCACGCACAATCTATGTGATTCGGTATTGGAAATGAAATGGGGTTTAACTTTTCTGCTCCGACTGGGCTAATGAAGATGGACATATGCCATGCAGTATGCTATGAGGGAAAATTTGTCTAGACAGCGATGCTACGGCCTACTCTTATATCGAATTCCATCTGCCAAGGGATCTTTTGCATGGACGCTAATGTGTTCACGGGACCTCGGATTTTCGTCCATCCGAAGAGCTATACGCTGTCCCTTGCCAGGCCGTCCGTCCTGCATCACTGACGGAGAAGGGGGGGGGGGGCACGCCAGAAAATCTAGAACACAGAATCACCAGGTAAGCGAGCCAACTTCTTACTCTGAGCCAGTGATCTATTGGACTAAAAATTATTCAAACTCATTTTAAGCGCAATGTACTACCCAAAGCCGGAAAATTATAGTTTACGCAGCCTTGTCACGTGACTTGATTATTTTGAGAGCGGGTCCATTTTTCGCTTGTACTGGTAGTTTACTCGCTTTCCATTTACCATAATTATCGAAGCCTAAGTAAATTATTGGATTATCCTCTGCCAACTTATCTTTCCGACGTTAAATCGTAAAATCTGCTGTGCGTTTAACTTTCAAGTTTAGGAAGGTAATGCTGTACGTTGAGCAAAAGCGAAATATATAAATTTAGCTGTAGATATAATAAGTTTTTGATCAGTTGACGACATCAAAGAGACAAATTTATAGATATTTGGACTAGTATAATACTTAGATGGTAAATACAATTTTCTTAAGGCATTATATGCAGAACAAATTAACAAAAAATGGTATTCATCTTCCAACGTCTTCAGTGTACAATATTTACATAATCTCTCTTTCCTGGGTGTATTTAAATATCTGCTAGTTTCTATGCAGAGCGCATGCGACGAGCATCTAAATTTACTGAGGGCTACTCTAAACTTCAGTTTGAGGTCATCAATGCATAGATAAAATTTAAATAGAGGTAAATCTGTGAACGAATTATATGTGCTTAACTTAGATGAAGCAAAACGTGAAGAATTCCATTCTTGGATAGATTGATCAAACAGTTTAGCTTTTAAAACTTTAAAATAAGGAAGATTAGAATCTTGATTCGTCCAGTAAAAGGAACAGCCAAGATTATCCAGTAAACTTTTAACATTGAACACCCATGTTTTATTACTGTATTTCCTGTCCAAATCCGAAACCCGTGAGTGGTTGTAAACAATATATTTTAAACTACTGTTATCTGATAAAACATTTATCCAATATTTTAATATACAATTTAGTCAGGAGTAATATTGAGTTGTTCTTCCAAGCTCTCCATACACCGAAGCACTATGCGTAGAGGATTTTAAAAGTAATGTCCGTTTACAGAACTGTAGCACACTGATCCGCAGTGAATATTCGCTTGGCCGCTTCAATCACTGCTAAGGATGACATTGATGCGACTTAATGACTACAAAATATTAACTTTTTTCTTTCGACAAATTAAATTCTGAAACATTTTTTTTTAGTATTAGAAAAATAAATAAAGGTGTTTGAAGTATATTTTGATAACAAATATTCCATATTTAGCGTAAATAGGTACAGAAAATAGTACGCGGAGGCGTAAAATGGGTAAAACGATATAATTTTGCCCGTACCAGTTCATATTACTACGTTCGATGTAAACAACGCACGTGTGGCCATCAATTTGACGTTTTTCTGTTTGTTTACTCTGAATTCTTTCAGAAGTACATTTTTACCGTCTAATCTGATTGACCTGCTCGTGTTTGTTTTAAAACAACAAAAACAAGCCACAGAAGTAATCTTTTTTGGCGTTATCGATGCCATCTTGCTTTGTTGGTAAACATTGTGATGTGACGTCACCCTTAGAACTACAGCGGTCTGACCTTTTAAAGGTCAGTCATCTTGGACAGAGATAAAAGACGGATGTCGCATTAGGTCTGTAAAACAGATTGGAACTGTAGGTGTAGTTTTTCAATGTCTGGAGAACTATGGAAGCCCCAACTCGCACAAGCATAATTAAGAATTGATCCTATATAAGAGTCAAATAGATAAAATTGCTGTTTTACATTAAGATTTACTTTGTTAAGAACATTATATAATTGATACAGGGCTTTAGATGCTTTAGATGCAATAGATTTCTGACATTTGTTAAAATTACCATTGTACTGAGATTGTCCAAATTGCACAGAGCGATTGTCAAATCAGTGTTCAGGGGACAATAAGATTAAAGGGAGACAATTCCACTGTACATGTGGGCTGAGACCAGTATATTTTTATTTTTAAAATACCTTAATGCATGCAGGCCAGAACTTGGATTTTCGATACTCGGGTAGGTTTATGATTAATTTGAGTGTGATATAATATAAAAATAAATGTATTTATGTTCGTGGTAAGAAGAACAATGCCTATGGCAAATACATTTATTTTCTTGTTAAGAGTAACAATGTCCAATAGACCATTGTTAACAAGTTTTACCATGGGCAGTGATGGATTAACCATTAAACAAAATAGGCACGTGGTAAGTTGCATCATGGGAATGAGGGCACAGCAGAATGTCTGCTTTGTTACATTCAAAAACTAATTAAGACCATTTAATTAGTTTTCATTGGTTTTGTCTTACTACTGTTACCTGTTTTATAGCAATAAATAAACCCCCAGAAAACCCCTAACCACGTGCTTGACTGGTTGTTTACGCTTTAATACTGTTTATGGTTTGAAGTATATAGGCTATATATTGGGGCAACAAAATCGTTTAAGTTCTTAGGGCCACTGTGTGTCTTAACCCGGCCCTGACGATGGAGTATGTTTAAAATACTTGAATCTAATTCTCTTCAGAACACCCACATTCATTTGTATGTTTCATATCGAAAAATGCTTTAGCTGCATTAGATCCTCTCTGAAATAGATACAATACATACTAGTGATCTATCATAGAATAAACTAGTCTTGCAGAACAATTGACTATGATTTAGTAATGTAGGCCTAATTGACTATAAAAACCAATTAACTATACATAGAGTGAACTATATAGGATAAAATAGTCTCGTGGAACAATTAACTGTGATTAAGTAATGTAGGCCTAATCAATTATAAAAAAAACAATCCATGTCAATCTTGTCAAATGTAGCTTCATATACAAGATAAAATACGATAAAATGGATGTTCCTTAATATATTCCGGATAAAACGGGGTGCTACGAATATATGCTAGAGATATATTAAAATCCATGTCATTCTTGTCATATGTAGCTTCAACTATGGGATAAAATCGATGTTTCATTCTATAATCCAGATAAAACGGGGTGTTACGAATATATGCTGGGTCTATATTCAAATAAGTTTTTGCAACCATTATGACAGTAAAGGATCCGGGTAATATTAAACGTGAAATACTTTACCTGCTCCAGAAATTCTTTATCTGCATCTTCAAGTTCAAAATCTAACGTACCAACATAGCTTGTATTTATAGCTATTGTTCTATCAATATCCCTTGGCTAAAATACAAAACACATTATACAAACAAATAAACCATCTGATGTAATGAATACAATGTAGACCCCAACTTCTAATTTTACCAGAATTTGTAAAATTATCATGTTATGCAGTACCATAGGAACAAAAGTCAAAACGTCTTAACTTTCCTAACACAAATGAAGCAAAACAGGCATACAATAGAATTCTATACACACATATTCTTGGCTATAACGATAGGAATGTGAGTAATTTTGACTTTGCAAGTATCGTAACAACAGAAATGTGTCTGTGGTCGTATTTGATTGTCACGAATTCAGATATTGATTCTCTTTCTAAGTTCTCTTTCCAGATTCATTTTCTAGATTCATTTTCAAGATTATCTTCCTAGCTTCATTTTCAAGATTTTCTTTTCAGATTTACTTTCTAGATTCGTCACAAACAATCAGTTTTACGAATCAGGATTTGATTTAAGACATGCGCTGTTGGTAACTTGCAAATAACCACCATTTTGAATCCGAGAATTCAACGCACCCCGGCGGATTCACCGGTTTGTGTATTTGGATTCGGATTTGATGTAAGCCTATGCCAATATGTATTGATGTGTCGATGCCAATAGCGGGTTCAGGTGGGTGACCAAGGCCTCGGCCTCCCCAACTTGCACAAGGACCCTTTTCAATCATGAACGAAGCATTTGCTAAACTAATTCCAGGAAAAGGTCAAACTAGTGAGATTTTGTTTGGTAAGAGAGAGAATAGTTCGAACAAGATTTAGCCTCGTGTATCACACATAGTCAAAAGTAAATTAAAGTTCACATAACTGATCATTTTCTACTTACGTCAATGCCCCCCCCCCCACCCATAAAGCCGTAACCAAAGTCCAGATTAGCTTTGCTGCTAGTTGACTGTGCTGTGCTTTCTGGGTGTCAATTCGCATGGTATGTTCACAAAGCTGTTACCAAGTAAAACACCTACCTGTAGATTTATCAGTTGAGCATTTTGTATAAGGGCTCCGATTAATGACGAAACGAATGTTTTCAGATCGGTGATATTTTTTCTGTCGAATCCCATGTATTTATGGCTTGAATATGCCCCTTTCCATTCAATAAAACCTAACAGTTCTCTAAACTGAACCTGTGGCATGGAAAAAAAGAAAATCGGGGAAATATATGAAAATCTCTGTCATATACCCATTTGAAAAGTGTTATTTTAGTTACTATATTCTATACGAGGGAAATATTGTTGGTATCTTAAAATATTAGAAACGTTTGTCTTCCATAAAAGTTTCCTGGTTCATCTTAAATTATTGACGGGAACCCCACTGTCTCTCTTTTTTTCAATTTTCAAGTGGACCTCTGTTTGCGTCCAGTCCGAAAGACCAGGCGCCTTTTCTTATTACTGATCTCTTCGTCCTCGGCCACTTATAACAATAGTTAATTAAGATGGGACTGGGAATTCCCGAGAAGTTTGATTGACCAGCCCCTTGGTCGGTGATATTTTTTCTGTCGAATCCAATGTATTTCTGGCCTGAATATACCCCTTTCCATTCAATAAAACCTAACAGTTCTCTAAACTGAACCTGTGGCATGGAAAAAAAGAAAATCGAGGAAATATATGAAAATCTCTGTCATTTACCCATTTGAAAAGTGTTATTTTAGTTACTATATTCTATACGAGGGAAATATTGTTGGTATCTTAAAATATTAGAAACGTTTGTCTTCCATAAAAGTTTCCTGGTTCATCTTAAATTATTGACGGGAACCCCACTGTCTCTCTTTTTTTCAATTTTCAAGTGGACCTCTGTTTGCGTCCAGTCCGAAAGACCAGGCGCCTTTTCTTATTACTGATCTCTTCGTCCTCGGCCACTTATAACAATAGTTAATTAAGATGGGACTGGGAATTCCCGAGAAGTTTGATTGACCAGCCCCTTGGTCACTGAGTCACCTTGGTTCCCTAATGTATACTAGAAATAAAGTATGTATTTACCGTTCCATCATTGTTCTGGTCAAGCTTGCTGAAAAACTCTTCAAACGTCAGACCTTCAAACAGAGCATCTCTTTGTTCTTGTGTAAAACGTTTCTTTTATTGATATTCAATGAAAACAAAAGATTAAAAATGAACAAAATATCGCTGTTTGTATCATATATTTCTAGGTTAAAATTAGGAGTGGTTCCAATCAATTAGGGATAAATGGCGCTCGGCAAATTTACCTGACCAAACAGTCCACTACATGACCACAAAATCCTATTCCTAAACTACTGAGATGAAAGGAAAATTTATGATATAAAATCGGCACTTCAAGAATATTTTAAATTCTAAAACAATTGTGCATTTTTAAAGTTACAAAATAAAATGAAATGTAGTTTAAACGCCCTACTGTTCTACAGAAGGATTGGGCTAATGAAGACGGGCGTACACAAGGAGCTATGCCGAATGTCTCAGACAGCGGCGCTACGACCTACTCTTATTTCGATTACAGATGTCGATGGTTCTTTTACGTAAACACCAATGTGTACACGGGACATCCAAACGGGACTGGACAGATCCTGTGTCTTGCACCACTGACAAGGAGAAACAACACTTACTAAGCCACCGCGGCTCCTACACGTAGATTGTGTCAAATAGCTGACAAAACGATACCGGGAGCGAATTCGAGACACCCCCCCCCCGGTTATCGATCCAGCGTCTTACTTACTAAGCCACCGCGGCTCCTACAACATACACGTAGATTGTGTCAAATAGCTGACAAACCACTCACATCTTCAAATATAATTTTCACCGCCTCTTTGCTCAACGTAGATTCTGACAGCTGTTCTTGGCATACCTAAATAAAATAAAACTCTATAATAACTGCACATAATGATTGTTAGTCTGAAGTTGGAGACTCGATTACCCCACTTTGGCTTTTGAAACTTTGTGAACCATCTCCCAAAAACGTTAAATCAGACCTTATGAATATCATGCTTATGTCACTGTATTGTGTGTGTTTGTATCAAAATCCGGTCCACGTCACTACACTGTGTGTGTGTATTCGTATCAAAATCATACCCGTGTGATTAAAGCAACTACAAGTTCTTACTTTAAAAAATACTTCTACTGATGAACGGAGTTTATCATACTGTTCAATTTCTTCAGATTTATGACGACTTTTGTCCCTAAAAAATATAAATTACCTTGTCAGTAAATAATAATGGGCTGTCACGTTGTAATAATGAACTGTCGTAAATATTAATGAACCGCTGCCGATGTTAGTAGGTATATTAATAGAGACCAGCTTCCCCATTGAAGAGTAATAATGAACCCTCATCTTCCCAATAAAAGTAATAATGGACCTTCACCTTCCCAATAAAAGTAATAATGGACCTTCACCTTCCCAATAAAAGTAATAATGGACCTTCACCTTCCCAATAAAAGTAATAATGGACCTTGGCCTTCCCAACAAAAGTAATAATGGACCTTCTTCTTCTCATATGCAAATACTAGGTCCGCCAACAATTAGTAATGAATTAAATTACAAGAAATGGCCTAACCAATTAGGTTGTTTTTTTGGGTTTTGTTTTTTTATTTCTTTCATTGGGGATCAGGGATCATATCACAGTTGTCTAAAACTGACCCTAGCCACTTCGAGAATCATTTACAATAAGAGACAGTCTCCCTACCTTTCGCAATATAATTTGGTACTTTTTCCAGGTCTCTCTGGTTTTAAACACAACGCCCTTTTATTGAAGCAGTCCTTCATCCACTGATTGTCAGTCTCCGAATACTGAAAAATTGTGAAACATCTTCTGAATTATCAAAACTTTGTACCAAGTGCCTTATTCACGTAAACATAAAATAGTAGTACAAATTAAGCTGCATTCTAAAAATATTTTTTGTTCAGTTCAGACCACAGAATATAAGTCATGATTAGAGAGAAAGAGAGAAATGGGGTTTAACGTCCACTCGACACAAACTAGGTCATTTCGGGACTAACATATGGTTTTTAATTTTATTTCAATAATTCGCTCGCGCGTAGGGGTCTTTAGCAGTGGGAGGAAACCGGAGGACCCGGAGAAAACCCACGAGGTTGGACAGGCGACCCCACTCCTTGTCACGTACAACCGGGGATTCGAAACCACGCAGTCGACTCAATGACAAAGCTTATGATACAACCAGAATCAAATGCAATATTTTGCCAGTACTTACCTTGTTTTATGATACAGCGCGCTCACGCTAACCATTCAGCCATCCAACCCCCCAGTCATGATTAGACTTGGGACATCATCAAAATAGTAATTAGGAAACATTAAGGAAATACCCTAGCATGTCAGATAAATAAGTGTTCAGAATGACGACAATTATGTGACATTCCAAGTCAGACGACTGAAACGATTTTTCAGAATTAAACTGATAATCGCAAAAAGCTTGCTAATATCAACATATTTATTAATCCTAGTGCTATGAGGAAAATATTTTGCTCTACGGCCTGATACTTATCGAAACGTCGTGCTCTTACAATAAACTAAGTGATTTTTTCCCATAAAAACTTTGATATATTAATGTGTTTCCCGATCGCTAAATGCCACTCAAGGATTGTAAGAAAAATAATGGATTTAACACTTTACATGTCAGAGGGTTTTTTATACTTACTAAAACAATTCCCAATGTCTTAGGATTAAATTCTTTAAATCGGTTATTTTGTTCATAATGTTTAGCAATATCACTTAAAGATTTAATTCTATTAAAGAAGCTATTCCCTTTAGCCATTGATAAAAACCAGCCTAAAACAAAATAAAAACAGTCAATTATATCAACACCCAAAAACAGTCAAATGTATTAACAAAGAAAACGGGCATATCAACAACCAAAATACAGTCAAATATATCAACAAAGAAAAACAGTCAAATATATCAACAAAGAAATACAGGCCTATATCAACAAATAAAAACATTCACATATATCAACAGCCAAATACATTAACAAAGAAAAAACAGTCAAATAAAGCAAGAAACAGATGGTGTAGATAATCTTAATTGACTAGCCCAATGGTATAAATCCGTATTCTGTTATATGATATTTGATTCTACAAAATATTTACCATCAAAACAATGAATTGGGTAATTACACAGCATCCCTCCATCTACAAACAAATCTTCTTCTCCGTCTGCTTCTAATTTGGATTTTATTGCCCTAAAATATCCTGAAATGCACGCATTTGACAATAATAGCCATCATGATACATGTTTCGTGCCACCAGCAAATGTTTCATGCTATCAACAAATGCTTCATGCTATCAGCAAATGCTTCATGCTATTAGCAAATGTTTCATATTTTCTGCAAATGTTTCATATTTTCTGCAAATGTTTCATGCTATCAGCAAAATGCTTCATGCTATCAGCAAATGCTTCATGCTATCAGCAAATGTTTCATGCCCTCTGCTTTATATCATCATCCAAGTTTGAATGCCACCGGCCTTTGGTTCATGCCATAGGACACTATCCCATTGCATCAGCCAATTCAATATGCAATCTGCTAATTCTTTTTTATGCCATCAGCCAATGTTTTGTATCATCATCAGCTAATTTTTCATGCCGTATACTTGGATTGGCTTAAAAACTAACTTACCTGGTATAGATATAGACATGCGCACAGCTTCTCTAATTGGTGTATCCGGTGTTGTCTTCGCGTGGAAATATTCTGTTTTTAATCTGTTGACATTAGTTACAATAACACAGAGTTCCTTATCACGACTAGTATACAACTGAAATCAACAAATTACAATCTTAATCATGATCATTTGCGAAAACAAAACTTTTATGGTTTTGGATACAAATGTGTATCTAGATTCGTGCCTCCCAGGACGGTCTTTCCGTTTGAAATAACATAACGTTTAGGCCACGTCAGTCTGGCATGTTATGGCAAACTGTTATTCCTTCGTTCATTGGTCGAGGTTAACGTCGGCTTCCACCGAAGGTGATATTGCAAACAAATGAACCTTGCAGGAAGAACATGTCGGGATTGAGAAGCAAGTCCAGCGTAGGGCAGGAATAGGGATGCGATAAGGCTAATTCGCCGTCCCCTTCTTCGTAATGTCCGTCTTCATTAGCCCAGCATAGGAGCAGAACAGTAGGACATTAAACCCCATTTCATTTCATTTCGTTTGTAATTAAAGGTGTAGTCGTGTCTTTTGGGATACGTTGTTTTGTGGAACCTTCCAGTACCATATGCCCAAACGGCGTTGCACACATGAGAAAGTAATAAAGAAAGTAACGTAATCAGGACCGCTGGCGCTGGGATGGTGGTTTCAAGCAGGTGCTGACGGAACCTCGCTGCCACCCTCGTTCCAATCTTAAAAGGGTTGATATACAATACTGCAAGGTTGTGTTCTGACCGACCATACTTTTTTTCACTAGAAAAAGCACACTGTGATAAAGACGTCTACCAAGAACTAAATAGATGTGGATAATTTCGCTGATCAGTACACTCGAGCGGCACTTCATCTGGCACCACGCGGCGTTACGATGTCCTTTTCCTATTAGGTGTCGCACATGTTTTCTCTGCATTATTTTGATGAGCTTCGTTTTAATCTACTTGAATCCAACTAGCGGGAGATTATTCACCGTTGATATTTTGATAATTTATTTGGCGTGTATTAAGACGTGGAACATTTTATATTTTCTGAGAAATGCAAATGCCACACAGATACTTTAACAAACAAACTACGAAATGATTAACAATCATATAACTATAAGCATTATTCTATTTACAACGACCAACCTGTTTAAACGTCAAATCAGCATTTCCTGTCTTCTGTTTTATATACTCCCCTAACGATTTCTTAATGGGATTGGTTGAATGGAAACCATACTGCTTAAATACTTCATAAAACGACAAACAAATCGAAAACAGAGTCCCTGTAATTACAGATTATACAGATCAATTTCTCAAAATGAAAATATGATTCACATCATGCTGACCTTAGATGAAGAGTCAGGTTAAGACGAATGTGAAATGGTGCCACCGGCCCAGGATCCGGGCAAAAATAGGCGACATTTTAAAATGTTTTCTTAAGTACAAGACCCAATAGCATTTATCCCAGGCGTTCAAATACTCTGACAATGGCAATATGATTTCGTGCTTCGTCTGTGTCTCGCCCATCAACCCTGCTTGTATTCCCATGCCATCTTTATAGTAGTAAATCGACTTGATGACTCTTGGTCCTTCTCTCCTTAGATGACAATACCGCATATGCTTATGTGTATGCTCTTGTTTCTACTAAAGCTGCTGTATTTTCTATTGCTGCTGATGATGATGATGAGGATGATAATGATGACCAAGACATAGTAGCATTAGTATTGATACTGTGCATGCTCTAGCTGCTATCGAACCTGCTGCTGGTTACTGATGATACTGATGATGATTATGATGAGTAATAATAGTAGTCTCACCTGAGGTAAATGTTGACATTGAATTTGAATATAGTACTTTAGTGACCTCATCTGGACTGTAACCAACAGATAGTAAGGTTGCTACTAAAGAACCAATACTGGCCCCACCAAATCGCTTTATATGATGATTGCCATCTCCAGATAACAAACCCAGTTTCTGTAAATACTGTTAATATATATCATTTACGAGGAATGTAAATCTTCATTCAACTTCAACATATTAAATCTGGCATCAAATATGGGCTTTCGTTTTAACCAAATCAACGAGGGCATTGAAATGAAATGAAACGAAATGGGGTTTAGCGTTCTGGTTTTCTGCACCAACCGGGTTAATGAAGACGGGCATACGCCATACAGTATATAAAATTACGGTCCGATACATGCCAATATCGAAAGGAAATGAAATGAAATCGGGTTTAGCGTCCTACTGTTATGCTCCGACTGGGCTAATGGAGACATGCATATACACAATGCAGTGTGCTACGAGGGAAATTTTGTCCGGACAGCGACGCAACGGTCTATATTTATAACGAACTCCAACTGTCAATGGGACCTCGTTTTTTTTTAGATTGACCATTCGGGCGAGAATACACCGTTCCTTATCATGCCATTCGTCCTGCGCCACTAAGATGGGAAAACTAGACAGGAAACACTTGTGGACCTTTCTCGATCAACTAGGATCTCCTGATTGGTAAGCCAGTGCCTTACTCCTGAAACAACGTTGCTGTTGCTACCCAGGAAGTTAATAATAACAGACCTTTAAAGCACCACCCAGAGCAACTCCTTTAGCTCCTCCTCCCTCAAGCACCAAGTTTTCATACACCAGCGGATTCTTCGTAGACATCGTCGCTGATTCTATGAAAATATAAAGATATATTAAACTTTAAATGTTTATTATCGTACCATCGGTAGAAATGACGACCGAGGCTAGCCTTAACTTGAATCGCTAATAGCTTAGTTCAGAGTGAAGCAATTCGACTGAAATTTTCAGCATATTCCTTATCTCATTATCTTTTTTTGTTAACTATTAAAGTGAGAACTGCCAGCTCGTATTTAATCTTACCTAATGCTCCTTTAAACAACAAATTGCCTTCTTGCAAAGCCGATGGCTATGGTGGCTGATTGGTATCATGCGATGTCGGGGTTTCGCCCTTCATAAGGCAATAACCCGACACCACGAAAAGCCGACATCACGACATTATAACCCAACAATTCTACATTTTCACCCGACATACCGCGTAAAAGTGTCGTGGGGTCGGATTAAAATGTCGAAGGGCGACACCACGACATAACGACATGATACCAATCAGCCACCATAGTTGGTTGAATTACCTTCAATACTATAGGATTTCAAAGCAGAAATAGTCAATAGTAATAGTACACGTCATTATTGATTATAGGCATTCCCGGAGAATACCGTGTATTAAAAACGGGTGTAAGTTATCCTACAATTGTAACGTTTTCTTGAAGGGAAACCCACGTTTGGGGTATGGGGAGCTTGGTATCTCTGCCACCAGTGATCAATTCCTGGCTGATCACGAGCCACCGGTAAACGGAACTTCGGAAGGATATGTAAGGACCAGCTAAAAAGTGGTAAGTAACGGTGTTTTGCTAAAATTATAATAAGCTTCGCCGTAGGAATAAAACAGACTCGTTCAGTTTTCAAACCTTTATGTAACAAAAACTTTCAAAGCAGAAATAGTCAATAGTAATAGTACACGTCATTATTGATTATAGGCATTCCCGGAGAATACCGTGTATTAAAAACGGGTGTAAGTTATCCTACAATTGTAACGTTTTCTTGAAGGGAAAACCACGTTTGGGGTATGGGGAGCTTGGTATCTCTGCCACCAGTGATCAATTCCTGGCTGATCACGAGCCACCGGTAAACGGAACTTCGGAAGGATGTGTAAGGACCAGCTAAAAAGTGGTAAGTAACGGAAATACGTTTATTTCTGTTAACTTTCCTTTTTCGGGTGAACAGCGTTCACCGTACTCTGTCAGGGTCTTTACCTTTTCGAGCAAATAGCATTCGCCGTACTAGTTCTTGAAACTGCCAATATCTTTCCATTTTCGGGTGAATAGCATCCGCCGTATTTTTCTCAATCTGCAACTTGTCTTTTTCGGGCAATCCTAGATTACCGTACTCGCTGAAACAGAAAGAAGCTTTAAAGGAGCTTCTGTGCCCTCGGAACGTAGCTTGTCAATATCAGCGAGTTCTTCGCTGACCTTTTTTTTTTTTTTTTTTTTATTTAATTCACAAAAATATTGCACACATGCAAAATTAAAACAATAGAAGTTACATCAGTTTAAAGTCACCATCTAATTAAATTTGATATTGATTTTATCATTAATTTCTATATAGGAATTCATTGAAAATAGTAATAAATATTTATGTCGATTACTGTGCTTTGACATATATTGATACAAGTAATTCATGTGTTTAGTTAGAAGTGTTTTAAATAACTTACACAAATCTACCCTGGTGGCTTCATTTAAAAACAAAATTCTCCGTTTGATAATAGCTAATCTAGCAAACGAGAAAATAAAAATTAAAAACAGATTATTGGCTTCATTTCGCACAGGATAACCAAACAGTAACCACTGACGAAAATCATCTAGTCCAAAACCCGAGGATTGGAAAAACACCTCTATAAAATCTAAAATATATTCATGCAAATTCTTAACAGATTTGCAATCTAGAATTATATGCTCTAAATTTTCAATAGTCTTTATCACAGAATTTACAATAAGGATTATTTATTTTACCAATATTATGAAGCTTCTCATTAGTCCAAATGGTGTTATGAACAATTCTATAATCATTATCTAACGATTCTGAACTTTTATTCATAGCAAAAACAGACTTCCATACCACTGGCCAGTTGATGTCGTACCCTCGGTGCTGCCAATAAGATTCGCAGACAGGGGGTTCAAAATACTTATCCCTTAATAACTTATAGACCGAAGACGTACTTAATTGATAGATATCATAGATGTTATCATTCATAATCAGTTCAAAATCTAATTCATAGCGTATAATATCACTCTTAGAGCGAATTATTTTAGTCCAGGACACTGGCAAACATTTAAGAATCAAATTATACTGATTTTCAATTTTCTCATATTTACAATCTGGTAACGATTCTCTAGCCATTTCAAATATAGCGTCAACTGATAAAAAACCTGAGATAAAAATATAACATAGATCAGAAATTTTGACTAAACCGGCTTCTATAAAATCACTGAAATATAAAGTTTTGTCATCATATACAATCTGTGGATTATCAAATAATGGTTGATTGAGGATGTCATTATAATTATCAGCAACTGGCCTTTTACCATTATGAAAGTCATCCCACGAAATCAGCATAGATCTATAAAAAGACGGCAACACCTTTAAAGCAGGTTTAGAATAGTTAATAAATAATAATTCAAATGAACACAAATAATTCTTATAAAGTTTTAAAAAATAAGTCATAAAATATTTCCAGAGAAAATTATCTGGACAGGATAAATATTTAGATAGCCAGTATAACCTAAATGCTTTCTGTTTTAAAATAACAGAATTCAGATTAAGACCCCCAACATCAGTACTACCTAAAATAGAAGTCCCCTTAATAAGGGGTGGTTTACCATTCCAAATAAAGGATCTAATAGATTTTTCAATACGATCCTGAGCCCATAGTGGAATTTCTACAACTCTTAATAAATACCATAAAGTTGATAGACACATGATGTTGACAATTAAAACTTTACCACGTAACTGAAGCCCTCTCTGCCTCCAGAGATTAAGTATTCTGCCAATTCTATTAACCTTGGAATCCCAATTTGATCGTTCACACATTGCTTCATCCGGACCCAAATACACACCGAGAAACTTTGCCGCTCCATGTAAAACTTTAACAGGTAAAGAGTCAGGATTTGAAACAGAGGCACTTGCCCGCTAATAAGAGCTCAGATTTCTCGGCGTTAATTTTGGCTCCCGAAGCCGAACAATAAACTCCAACTGTGGATAGAGCTTCATTTACAGAATCTAAATTAGATAAAGACAAAGTTGTGTCATCAGCGTGTTGAAACACGGTTGAATTATAATCACATCCTGGAACAGCAAAACCCTTGATATTCTCATTAGACTTAATAAGTAAATTTAATGGAACTGAGGTTAATACATATAACAAGGCCGAAATTCTACATCCTTGGCGAACAGAGCGAAGGATAGGGAATGATAAAGAGACATGCCCGTTTACCTTTACCGAACTTCTAATGTCTTTATACAAGATTTTAATAGAATTGATAAATTTCTCACCAAATCCAAATTTATGTAATAAATTGAACATATAATCATGAGAAACCCTGTCAAATGCTTTCTCGGCATCTAATTTCAAAAGATACAGAGGAAGGTCTTCAAGTTCAGCAAAGGAAATAAGGTCACGTATGTTAAGAATATTGGTAGCAATATCCCTGCCTGGAACACAACAAGACTGATCAGGCGATACAAGATCAGCTACTACTGTTTTTAATCTAAGAGCTAGTGTCCTGGAGAAGATCTTGTAATTAACATTTAAGAGACTTATGGGTCTCCAATTACGTAATTCATCTTTATTACCACGCTTTTTGAAAAATAACGAAATTGTCCCTCTCTTCATGGAATTACTGAGCTCTCCTATCTCCTGTATATTAGAAATAACTTGAAAATAATATTTTCCTAAAATGTCCCAAAAATGCAAATAAAATTCGACAGTAATTCCGTCCGGACCGGGAGATTTCCCTTTCTTCATGCCCTTTAAAGAATTGTACAATTCATGAATGGAAATATCAGAGTCACAATATTTAGATTTAGCTTCATCTAACTGATCAGTAATTAAATCAAATAACTTATTTTGATTGGCCTTATTAATTGGTTCATTCGTATATAGTTTTGTATAAAATTTAACACATTCTTCAAGAATTTCAGGAGTTGAATTGACAATAGAACCGTCAGATCTTTTCAAAGTCTTAACAATATTACTCTCCTGTTTAAATTTTTCTAAATTAAGAAAATAACGTGAGCATTTGTCTGTATCGAGAGCATCACAGGTTTTTGATCTAAGTATAGCCCCGTCACATATCTGTTTTTCATATTGTTCAAGTTTATTCTTTAGTTCATAAATTTGGGTATAGTCGTAATTTTTAACTGTATTGGCTTTAGTATAATGAAAATTTAATGCAGTCTGAATCTGCCAGAAATCGTCCTGCTCTTGTTTTCTCCTTTTCTGGGCATGTAAAATACTAAATTGTTTTATACGGTATTTCAAATTGTCCCACCATACTAATTGTTCAGTTTTATATAAAGGACAGGAAAGGGCTTTACTAATTAATGATTTGACACCTTCACAATATTCATGTTCTTTAAGATACTTGTTGTTAAAGATCCACAATCCAGGCCCTTTATCATAGTTGTTAAAATTGAGAATTGCAGTAACGAAACTATGATCACTAGTTTTAGTATGGGATATAAAACAATAAGATATAAACATCAGAATCGATGACGTGGTAAATATATAGTCCAATCGAGACTGCTTCAACACACCTTGTACGAATTGTTGACGCGTAAAAGTATCTTTGCCTGGGTTTTTCCTTCGCCAAATGTCAAACAAATTATTAGTAAACGCAAAATCAAAGAGATCCTTGGTTGATCCACCATAAGCAGACATATTTTTAGATCGATCAGCAAACCCGTTCATGACGTCATTGAAATCACCACAAACAATAGAATTTTCAGATATTCTGCCACCAATTTGATCAAAGAACTCTCTCCTATCTTTTTGAATATTAGGGGCAGTTTGAAGGTACTCATTAATTTCAACATCACATTCAAGATATCGACCCTCATCGTCAGAGTAAACAAAATTACAGTTTTCAGAGTATTTTTTAGACACAAATAAAGCGCAGCCTTTAAAACCATGCAGACTATTTGAAAAATAAATATCACCACTACACAGATGTTTATAAGAATTAATAAAATTGTCATCCCAATGAGTTTCTTGAACGCACACAAAATCTAAACTTTTGCTCTGAAAATTAGCTATTAAATTACTGAATTTATTCACGTTCGTAAGTCCATTGACATTAATTGTAGCTACTTTAACCATTAAAATATAAAGTGAGAAAAAGGTTAACATGATTTTATCTTAAATATTTTATTTTGATTTATTCTTAAGGGCACTTTCAATCGAAACTTTCATACGATCACCCACAAGAGGATTTATGACCCCTTTCTTAATTTTACCAATTTTACTTTTTAAGGGATTATAAGCAACAGATTCCTAATGCGCCGAGGATATGGTGACTTGCGTTCTGTTGAATCCCCAATAGACACCTGACTATAATAAGAATCTTCTATCTCAAATTCATTATCATCTTCAACCGTTTTATCAACATCAACTTCAGTTTCACTTATTGGCCTATCATCTAAGTGGCAAAAACCATTAGCAACTTGATCAACATCTGAATTTAATTTATCGCATATATTAATATTACCTAAAGATCCACATGCATCAGTAGGGGTAACTACTTCAGTGACATCAGCAACATTGGGATTGTGGACAGTAGCTTTTATTGCTTTACCATCAGACGCTTCTGTGCTATTCACAATACCGTTATCATTACCGTTAGGTATTTCCGCACGTGCATCAGCTGTAAATATATTATCACTCGCATCCACGACACACTCGCATTTCCAATCAAATTCATCGCACCTCGGACACAACACCGACGCACATCTTTTTTTACCATGACCGGCTTGTTTACATCTAAAACACTTAAATTCTGGACACTGGGCAACTACGTGGCCGGATTGTAAACATAGGAAGCAAACCCTTTCTTGATCATTATGGCGAATACTGTACGACACACTATCAAAACTAGTAGCATATGGCAAACTTGAAATACTTGGGGGGAAATCAACTTTAATAAAACGGGTACCATCATATTTCCTTTTCCCATCGGTATCGATCGTTTTCCTGTGAAGAGGTCCAACGGGTGTAACACCCCAATTTTCTAACTTTTTATAAATGTCATCATCTGAGATATAAACAGGCAAATGCATAAAAGATACTACCTTCACTCTTGAATCAACAAATTTACAGGGTAGACCCTCATCACCACATACCAAACCATCATCAGCTAACTGTTTCGCACTGTTACGATTAACTATAATAACATCATATGAATCGCTGCACGGAACACATGCGAGAACTGAATCAACGCCAAGTTTTTTTTCAACTAAAATAATAATGTCACGCGCACGATATTTCTGAACATCTTTCACTAAGACCTTCACTGTGTTGTCCTTTATCAACAACTGAACATCCGCCATATTGATTAAACAATTTGACTGAAGCTGACTTCAGCCGGGCCGAAAGGCCCACACAATAGTCACAAAAAGTTCAAAAGTGAAAACTATTACCTCAAATCAGAAGTTAAAGTTTATATACACATTTTTGCTCAATTTATATACCTATTTCGCTTTATATAACTTCGATTGTT